GTCCATTTTCCTACTCAGTTTGGAATATGTTGAAAATCATAGCAACTAAACTGAATCATGTTTGGCAGCATTTGAAACAGGTTTTCAGCTACAGGATTGGACATTAGTAAAACATATATTTTTCTCTGGTAAAATAAAGAGATAGGTCTATGTTAAGTGGGTGCATCCATTTCTTTAATTCCATATGAACTGCATCTGGAAATGCTTGCAGCATGTTTTGAAAGTATTTATGATCCTATTTTTAAATAAAGGAAAACAGTTTCTTATCCAATATATAAATTTTTTTATTTAATGAATTCAGTTTGATCTATTACAGCATAACTGTTGGGAGGATAAAGCCTTTGAGGAAGATTAATATATATTTAGATAATTACAAAACAATCTTCTTTCTCTTTTGCGATATCTAGCTGAAAAATAAAATTCCAGTAGGAACTGAGTGATGCTGCTTGGAAAGCATTTATTTTAAAAGAACCTTTCCTTTGAAACTTGAATTAGAGGCTATACTGCATACTAAAAGATATTTTAGTTGCAAAAGTCATACTTTTGAATAGGTAACTATGCTGAAAACATAATTCTGTTTGCTGGACATAGTTTTAAAGCCAAGAAAGATATGTAATAGAAGAGACTGAACTGATATACACATACTCAACTCATATCTGAGTTCACTTTTTTTTTTCCTGTATTTGTTATTTATGTCGATATGTCTTAACTATGCTGTGTTGCAAGAGGTGATTATATAAATTACAAGAAGCATGTGTCTACAATAAGAAATACTATCCCTTAGAAGCATAGTTTATCTTCTTGTCTTTCAAGGTTTGATTTTCAGATACATTATTAATTGATATAAACTTCAAAGTAAATTTCATTTAAGAGTAGAATCATGTGGAACTGGAATAGATAGAAAAAGATTTTTTTTTTTGTGCTCATTGTGCTTTAGAGGACTTCATCACAGAAGTAAGTCTGGATATTAGCTTTCCTCAATTCTGTTAATTATTTATTTATAACATGTTATTTATATTCTATAGTTGCCTGCAGATTTTCCAGGATAAACGTTTGATTGATTTTGCAGGTGACTGTAGATTCCATGACACTGGAATTCTTGGAGATTTGTCACGTAACAAATACCTTTATTAATTAACAGAATTAATTTATCAAGAGAATTTCATGAAGGAAGAAATAGCCTTCTTTTGACAAGTTAATTAAAACATAATTCTGTGATAAATGCTCTCTCAGCCTCTATTAAATGAAGAATTTTTCACATAAACGTTTAATATTAGTTGATGGTAGACACTGCGATTGTATAATAGTGGAATTATGTGACTACATAGGAGGACTTTTTCCCATATTCTGGCTCTATCTCCATTAATTTTAAACAAAGATAATAAATAAAAATGCTGCTGTTTAATAGGAAGTATTTTCAATTTAATTATCATGAGTGCCCTTCTGGGGTATTGTTGCTGTCACTATTGCTGTAAAATAGAAGTTACTTTTTCATATAGATTTCTGCATCAATGTAATGTGCTTATAACTGAACTCATCTATTTCCTATTTATTTCAGCCAGGCTCTTTGGCATATGGTCACTTCAAACTTATGCAGAGCAGAGAGGGTAGTTTTTCTCTTTCAGTGAAAGCACATATAAAACAGGGAAGTTGGTAGTACAGGCATGCAACTACCTGTTTTCTAGCTTTTCTTTTCCCTTTAGTTGCAAAGGAAGTTGTCAAGGCAGGCAGCTACGCTGTTTTTCAAAAGATACCCCTTCTTTGGTAGTCATTTGCATGAAGTCAGCACATGCTTGCATTCACAAAATAGTCATAACCATTGGATTATGTGGAACACAAAGAGCGACTGTCCCACTCTTAAACTGTGTGAATATGGAATTCTGATAGTCTGAGGAAAAAGTAGTAGTACCTGTTATTTTGAAACATTTAAAATCATATTTAAACACTATCAGTAGCTTCTTTTAGAAATAATTTATCTTCTAATGTAAAATTCCATGTAAAGGAAGCAACTGAAGAATCAGTGCAGAGTAGTAGAAAATAGAGGAATTCAAATGTTAGTACTTTCATAGAGCAGATTGGCTTCCCAATACGTACAGGGTTTTAAAGGTGAAGATAGCAAAAGCTGTGAAGAAAAAAGGTTGCTGGAGAGTTCAAGTAAATCCTCTGGACTAAATAAGAACACTTCCCTGTGAGTACTCCTGAAACATGCTTAAGATAAGACGGTCTAGATTAACCCTGGCTTTTTTTCCAGGTTTAACCTTACAAGAGATTTAACAACCCTTATATAAGCTCAGGCTAAATGAGACTCCCAGTAGGTCATGGTGTCCTGCAAACTTCATTTTTGGATGAAGTGGAAATGTCCTCCCACAATCCCGACCTCGGCTGCAGTACCTCCCTATAGTAGTTCAAAAGTTTGCGCAGCCTGGATCAGAGCTAACCAAAGCAAGCGCTGCCCCGACTGCTGCTCGCACCTGCTCAGTGCAATTGACATGCTTCGTCAAGCATGCAACCATGTCCAGCCAATAACGCTGCAGAATTGCTTTAAAAATCTACTACATCGTTTGAGGAAAGAGGTGGATATTCCCCTGCTTGCTGAATTGACCTTGTTTTGTGAATGAGTGAGATTTGCACTTTTTTTTTTTTTTTGGGAGCGTTCTGAATGCAGGAGCTAATAAAGGAATGCTTGATAAATGGAAAAAGTGACAACACTAAAGAAGAGTTTGAGGTAACCAAGAAAAACAGTTAATCTAGGAAAAATGAAAAGTAATTACAGTTGTAACGGGCATGATCAATATGAACAAACAGCATTGGCTCTGTGAAGTGTTGAATATTGGACAAGTGTTTTGTGGACTGATTTATTGTTTCCACCTCAACCAAAGTAATAAAAATTTCCTGATTATTCTAGAAGAAGACTGCTTTACTCAGGGAAAGTGGAAAGTCAAAACCACTGCTATGTTAAAATTCAGTGCAGCATTCCTTGTATCTTTGCGTTACAGATCTCTTTCCTATGTTTGCAGCAGAGTAGGTCTGCACTGCCCTTTATTCGGGCTTGATAGGGGGATATCAGTCTAACTGTAAAGTTTTTACCTGACAGGCAGCTGCACATAGGGACTGCACAGGAGTACTCACTTACTTAAACGCACAATCCTGAACTAGTAACCAGAAAATACATCTTTCCCTTAGGATAATGAGAAATTTTTAATGATATTACTGCTAAAAAAAAAGGGAAAAAAAAAGCAGTCTTAAAGTTGGAAGAATTTTTCAAACAAGGAAATGTTTTCATCAGACATTTTATGCAGCTTTCATTTAGACAATTAAAATAGATTAAATTTCAGTGTACTTGGATTCATGTGTACTAGCATAACAGTACAATGCCAAAATTGAAAATCCTACAATGGAATGTTTAATTATCTAAAGAAAAAAAATGTTTTTTTTCATGCAGACATTTTATTGGTCTCGAGTTTGAGGGTTTTTTAATCAAAGAGTTGACATGTGACATCTGCATGTAATAATATATCAGTATATAGTGTCATCTTTGCAGCAGCTTATATTGCAGCTGTATGAGTACGTAGATAACATTAATAGGATTAACATTCCCATTGACTTTTGATGTTAGTGCTAAACACATGCTTTGGCAAGTAGCTTATTTGAACAAAAAGTAAGCTTCAGGTCGACCATCTTAGGAGTGTGGGTTGAGTTCAGAATTAGTTTCAGTCCCCATCTCTTCTCTTCCAAAAAAAAAAAGTGAGAAAAGTGTTTGAAAAATAATAAAATACCAAAGTAAGCCTTTCAAAATCAACTATTTCAGAAATTTAGAGAAACTTTTTTTGAAATGATTAGGAACACACTATTTTTTAATTCGTACACAAAATAGAAAAATTAATTATTGCACTCCTCATTTAGGATTTCTCACAAGCGCAGAGTTACTCGCATGCAGATTTGCGGGAACATGATTTCCTAACAGTGACTGAGCTTGCACCTTTAATTCATTTTGCTTTCTCTAAATATAATAAATGATTAAAGATTTACAAATAAATCTCCCGTCTAAACCACTAAGCTTTAGACAAGTATACTCTAGCTGGAGTTGTACAAGCTTTCTTATGGATCTGTATCAGTACATGGGAGTCTGAATCTGAAAAATCCTCTTTGTTCAGATGTGGGCTCCCCAAAATGGACATTTTTCGGGTAGTAAATGAAAATGACATTTCAGAACTTACTCCTGTTTGAAACTAAACTTATTTCAAATCTAGTATCTCACAGAGAAAATCTTAACTCTCTGTTGTCTGGTATCTGTATCCTTGAAAATGAGAAAGGTCAAACCTTTCTTCATTGAAGCAGTAGCATTTTTCATTGTAATGTTCAACAATTTTCAGATTTCTGTATCTTTTTAAGATATTTTCTTAAGTGTACAGCTGAGGAAACCAATAAGGAAAAGATAAATCCATAGATGATGAAAGGATTTTCCTGAACTTAGTAGTTAATGTAATAGTTTGAAAAGGAAACAATTTACAAGTACTTGTTCAAATGCACTATGTAGAGAGTGAATAAAATAAACAGCAAGATGTGTGTTGTGATAGGAACTCAGATGATCAAAGAGAGCTACTGAATAGGCATAGTTATTCTTTCAGATAAAATAAGGAAGTAATTCCTTTGAGAGGTTTTGTGATCGTTTCTGTTGGAAAACTTTATATGCATTACTCAGAAATTCAATGAAAAGAAAAGCAATGCAGTCTAGATAATAGTGTCGGCTCTGAGCACGAGGTGGTGGCATGTGGACATAGCTTGAGCTATTTCTCCAAATCATTTGAATGGAAATATTGGATTAGTTAACCTTGTGTCAGGTCTGTTAGTTAAATAAACCCTCCAACTGTTCCTGACTGAGGGATGCATAGTTATGACTGAAAGATGCTGCTGCTTTTCATTAGAATTTTGTCAAACATATCCTGCTAACATAATGATTTTAAAAGAAAATGGTTTATTCGATGGAAAAGGATAACAAGCAAAAAATTCACAGCCTTTTCTTTTCACAGGGTGTTTCAGCCCAGTAGGAAATCCTCTTAGCCTAACACTATTGGGCAGACTACAGACGGTAAGGAATTCTATCTTTGCATTTATTTTAAAATTGATGTTTAACTATAAAATGCCATTATTCACAAGTTCTTATTGTAGAGAAGCTTTTTTTTAACATATCTTTATTCACAAAAGAAATATCTTTAAGCAAATTGTCTGCATGGGCAATAAGCTTTTGTTGCAAGCAGCTGGTAGAAAGGTCAGAGATCTGCAAATTAAAGCTTTTTTTTTTCTACTGTTTACTTTTTGTTGTTTGAGAAATAAGTAAGCCAAGATTGCAGTCAGTATTGCTGATTCTTACTAAGAATGCAAGCACTGATAAGTAGGGAGAGAAAACTGGAGGAATAACTTGAATCCTATTTGCAGTGCCATGTTTATACTGTTTACTCATATTTCACTTGCTTGCAACAAGTGAAATCATAGCTATCCTCTATTTATGTAAGTATTAATTGGAAATTCCTAGCAAAGATACTTGTTAATTTCATTATTACATTTCTTGTTTCCTGACTGCTGCGATAAAAAAACCAACAGAATGAGTAAATGCCGTTAATTCCAACTATACGCTTGATGAACCCACGTTAAACAAACACAAAACATATAGGGGGACTAGTCATTGACGAATCAGTAGTGTTCTGAATACTGAAAGTGTGTGTGGCCCTAGAAATCTGGGCCTGTTGCAGTAGAGTTGTTAAGTCTACCCTCCCATGTAGAGAATACCATGATTTAATACTCTGATTTAATTGTGTGCCAGGTGCAGTTTTTCAGAGACTAGTTAGAAAGAGACATAAATTAAGTTGGATCCTTTATACTATAAAGCTATTTTACAGTTTGGGCTTTTTTTTTGTACCTACCTCCTTTAGTCCTTGCTTTAACGTGATCTGTTAATAGAGTTAGTGTAAGGCCAATCTGATAACTGGATTTATGAAGAAATTTCAGAACTATCTTTTTACCCTTCCTTTTTTTTAGTGGCTAAATGTTTTTTGTTTACTCATTTTCCAATTTCTAATTATCAATATGTAATGATTAGGAAAAACTATAAATTGTTCAGTTTATATTTTAGTGTGTTCTGTCACAGAAAGACCTATAAACATTTATAAGATCAGCTGTTTTGGAGAATATTACATAGCAGTTAATTGAAAATATTTTTTGTATTTTTGCTGGAATGAGGGAGGTTAAATGAAAATTTTGAATATTTTCATTATTTTTGTTTCTGTTGTTATAAATGCAGTAATATATGTTATAAATGCAGGTAAACTGAATTCTTTAAATCAAGAAAGCAGCATATTTCCAAAAGACAAAATAGTTGAAGAGTTTTTGAATAATTTTAGGAGCTAAAGTATTTCACGTACTTCTGAATTGATTTCCACTCCCCCAACCACCTTTTTTTTAATCCCTGTAGGCTTTGTTGCAGCAGCTGTGTTTGCATTTCTGTTTTCTGTTTGTACATTGCAGCTTTCAATATAGTGCAGCCTGGCACAGTTTTTTCCTCTAGGCAGATTATAGATTCCCATGCTCATTAAATATTGAATGGCTATAATCAAATAAGGATTGTAGTCCTCTGAAGCCTAAGGAAGTAACTTTACAGTAATTTCATGATAGCAGACAGATTAATTAAGACCAAAGAAGAGTACATTATTCTTAGCAGTTAATACTTTCAGAATCGTTTTAATTTAACTATTAACATTGCCCTTGTCTTTCTGTTTTCTGTACGCTAAATTTGTATGGTTAGGTGGCCTGAGCTAGGCATATGTTGACAATTAATTGGACCAACTAACAAGAACAGAAATACAACAGTCCTAAACATATTCAATTATTTTATGCTAAGTTTCAGCTTATTTAGTGTTTTATTTAAAACTTCACTTACTGGGGTAAAGAAATTGTGTGATGTTCTTGGAGGAGGAGAGGGTTAAATATATTTCTAACCCTCGTGTTTATGAAGAAAAATGGAAATAATGGAGTGATTGTAAAAGCTTGAGTGATTCTATACATTTTTTAAAAATGGTTAAAATATATCTCATCTTTAAGCCAGTCATGATTTTTTTTAACATTGTAAATCCATTTCTCATTTTGACTCTTTTAAAAAACCCTAACAGCCTCAGAACCTAGGCTGTTATACACTCAGGCACAGATTTATGGGAAAGACTAGGGAAGCTTTAACATTCATTTCCTGAGTCCTTATGAGAGTGCTTGCACCAGTCATGCTCCAAGTTTTGTTCCTGTTTTGGCATATACTAGATACAGGAAGGTGGAGAGAAGCTGTGTCACTGTGCAGCAGGCAAGTTATAAATGTTTATCCTTCTCCATATCAGAATCTGTCCAACGTGAAAAAGGAGGAGGGTGGCTTCACCCCTATATGTACACACATCGGGGTTCACCCCAGTATATGTAGCGTCTGCCTAAGAATGATCTTAGGAAAGTTTTTTTCCAAGGGTAGTTTCTGAGAGTTAATGACTAATTAAAAGTTGAACATTATCTGTACATGCATCCTATTACAATGCAGAATCTGTTTAGATATAAGGAAGAAGCGTATGAAACCCCTGGTAGACTTTTAAGTTTTTCCATATTTTTCCTTTAAACTTTGATATTGTGATATTTAAAGTGTATTTTTGGGTAGTAGGAATGAAATGCCAAAATCAGTACAGAGAAGAAGGCAATAACTTACCACTTGTTTTTCATCAGTGCTGCTTCTCCTGTGGCAATGAATGCTATCTAATGCTGAAATCTTGTTGGCCAGTACTGTATATAGCTAGATGAATAAAAGCAAGGCCTCCATTACCATAGTCACTGAAACTGCCCAGTAAAGAAGTCATAAACATTTTAATTAGTGCTATCATCAGGCATCAGTGATGCTTGATATAACAACTTACTTATCTGTCTATTCTTGCTTGCAGTGCTCTCTTTTGTCTTAATTTTTTAAGTTTTTGTTTATTTTTATATTAGAAATATCAAAGCAATCTTACTGGGGTATTGTGAACAACCAGTATAATATTGCACAGTCTAGAACTCTAAATCAGCTGCTGAATCTATTTATCTTTTGTGGAGGTTCCTTAAGCAGTTCCTTTACAGTTTTGTTCAACCAAAACCTGTGTGACACAGCAGGCTTTTTCAGCAAGCGTTTTCTTCCTGTTTCTCACAGATGGTCTGTCTCCCAACAAGACCAGCTCCTCAGAACATAACTATAGGTCCCACATCTGTTCCAGATGCAACAAAATAGTTAACTAGTTTTCGTCTTGCATTGAAAAAGACAGAAACATTGCGTTGAGTTAACTATGCATACGCTTCAGTGTGTCTGTGGCTTTTTTGTAATTCTGAAAATGTAGCTGAATCTTGTGCCTCTGTTTTAAAAAAAAAAAAAGTTTTTAAACTGAAAAGCCAGTAGTTTTCACTGGCTGTTACTTGGAGTGTAACTGGTAGTTAGCACAACTTAAGAAATTATACAGCATGACAGAGCCAGCTCTGCTACCTTGCTGTAGCTACCATTTGTGGTGAGCAGCCATGCAAATTCGTCTACGCATGCTTCTCCCTGCTAACACTTGGACTGGAATCAGGATGTTCGCACATTCAGTGACATACTCCTCCTATCTCTTTAAGTCGAAACTCTTTGGATTGTTGTTGCATTGCATTAAAAATTTTACACAGTATCTGAGAACATTCAACATAGTCTCAGGATGACTCATGGATTTTAGCTTGTTATTTCCAAACAGCTCACTCTCTTCAACTTCTTCTTATGTTGAGTGTTTTAGAGTACATAAATACTTTATTAAAGAGAGAGAGAGAGACTGATTGAGACACAATAATGGGACAATATGAGTACCTGAACTAAATACCTAAATAATACTGCTAATAATTCTGATGAATCATTTTTGAGCAACAGGAGGCACTCCCATCCCACAGGCTAAGCACATTGCCTGCAAAATTCTCTTAACCTTGAGAATGAAAAATGAGAATTAGCTGAAACCTGTAAGACACTGTTACCACTGAACAAGCCACATGCTCTGAACTGCAATTCCACTGTTCTCTGTTCAAAATTTGTTGTCAAATCAGGCAGATATATTTTTCTCTGGAAATGTACGTAATTATTTAGAACTCTTTAGGTGGTAAGCATAGATGTTCTTATATATTACAAGAACTAAATGCCAGTGTGCATTTTTTTTACTCCATTCATCTATATATACTGTAAATATCTGTAGCTACTCTGACACTTGATAAACAATCTAGAGATAGATGAAACTGTAGTTTTCAGGATCATCGATGATTTCTTTGCTATATGAGATAAGCCTTGCTGAGTTAAGGAAACAATGTATACAGTTGGGCAAAGGATCTCTGTTCTGGAGAACGCCATTAATTCTGCTGAAGATTGCTATGAGGATGTTCCTTGGATCAGCCTAATAAAACAGTAGAGAATGAAAGGAGCAGTTCACTTCAGATGTGTGTTTAGAAAAGTGAGAGAAGAGAAAGACACTTTTGCCAAAGACAGTTAAATGGGATGCAAAATACAAAAAAGCAGGAGTATGTTAAATAGAAATTCTCAACTTTTAAGTATTGTTTATAATGTGGTACAATGTGTTACGGATGGAAACGGTTACTTTACAATGTTCACCTTTGATTCTTATCCTGAAATGTTGTAATTGCCTGGTCCCTAGTTTTATGTTGGCACGTGACTGTGTAATATTTCTGTTCTGTGTTGTAGTTTGATTTCTCTGACACATGCAACATCTAGGGGAAACTGATTTTCCCCTTTGCAAAGATAAGCCACTGAAAAAGAAATTAATTTAAGAAACACCAACAAAGAACTCCCATCTCTTCCATTGTTCTAATTTATTGTTCCTCTGATAATGTTAGTAATTGTTCAGTTTTAAATATTCTTTCACATGAAGAATTTTACTGCTTGACAGAAACCTAATTTTGTAGGCACATTCTAATTATTCCATTGTATATCCAGCATTCCTTTGATTTCCATGGAAGTCTGAAGAGTAAGTGGCAAAGGTAGAACAATTAGAAATAAATGTAAAGGTATTAGTTATTAGGACCAGTAATTCTCATTACATGCAAATGGCATCTAGTTCAAAGGTGAAGTTCACTGCAAAAATTTCTTAAACCTCTACTGCAATGTTTACAGTACAGATAAGCTTAGACTATTACAATCATCAGTCCACTATCTTCCCACGTGTTGTCTTTAGTGAAGTGTACCTACTTTAAAAAAAATCCCTTAATAAATACCTTCTCCTAAATATCTAGGTAGCCAATATTACTCAAGTGTTGTTTAACATCACTTCTACTTTTTCTTTTTTTTTTTTAAAGCATTTTTATTACAGATTTATTACAGATTCTTAACTTTTATCTTACAGTGGACATGACAAATATGGATGAATTTCAAAATTATAATCCATCAAAATACTTCATATTAAAATTAAAAATAATTTCTTCCTCTAGAATAGTGACTGCCTGACTGCTCTCGGGGTGAGAAGAGGAAGTAGTTGTCCACTAGGGCAAGAGACAGTAAGTATTATTTAATTTTTTTTTTCAGTATCTCTGTACTTGTTACACTGTATCTGTGTTTTTGAAAACATGTTCTTTTTTTCAGCTTGAACCCAAGGAATTTCTTTGCAGCCCCAGGTTTTGGAATTGATAGATACAGATTTTTTTGCTTAAAAGCGAATCCAGACAACATTTAACAAACACCTAAATATGAGATCAGAAGACATCCCATTGTTCTGGGCATAACTTTGAATCTTTTACATTCTTCTGTAGGTGGCTGATCTTGAGGGGCATTTCCTATATCCCCTCATGATCATCTTTCTGATCCTATTTCTCTAATGAATATAATGCCAATTTCCACATTTCTTTTAAATTGTCAGGTTTGCTAAGCCAGTCATATTACAGGACACATTGCTGTTTGAGTTTTTTATTTTGGGGAGATAGATTGTGGTGCTTGCTTAGTTGGTTTAATCTGTTTGCTGGCAGTATTTCCATGTTACTGAATTTTCCTAACTTTTTCAAAATGACAAAATGTTTACGCTCAAACTACCATATAAAAGACACTGCAAAAGCCAAGTATTTGTAGCTCTGTCTTTGGTTGCTTTTCATTCTGCCAGTAGTTAAAGCATTACATTCCTTTTTTACCTTAAGTGACCTCATGAGTTTCCTAGGACTATCACTAAGGAAAACTTTCCTAAAGTGGGCACTGTTAGAGCACCCCTTACTGGACAAGGTCATGTAAGCTGCTGGTTCTGCATTGTTTCTGTATTGTATTCTGTACTCTATTTTAATTCAATTCTATTCTGTAGTCCGTGCTTCTGTATTGTCAACATCACCTGTAGTTATTGAACTAGCTTTTCTAATGCAGTGAAGAGAGTAATAATAGAGGATGCTATTTCATTTCTTGGCCCCTTAATGCAAATTAATGGTTACTGAATGCGTATTTAGATAAAATTCCTGTCTACTGAGAGCTAAGCTCCTCTGTGACATGCAAGTATGAAAATGAAAGCAACATCAACTATATATTTTTTATAGCTCTAAGTCATAAGTAATCATACTGAAAACAGAAACATACAAAACATTGTGCAGTTCAGCAGTCTTAAGGTTTAAATGCACACATCAGTAATAAAAATGGAAGTTTATCACATATCCCTATCTTCATAATAACTTTGCTGCTTAATCCCCTAGTGAGAAGTGACCTTCTCTCATTCCCTAACAATCCCTGTATCCGACCTCTTTACTTGCCATTTCGTGGAGGGATCTGATGTGACGATTATATAGATGTGAATAGTGTTCTATGTGTAAAATATGTCATAAGTTTGTTGTTCACTTATGACGAAGGAAGTGAGCCATTCTCTTATTCTTGCAGTTCACCACTTTTCAGTCTTTTCTGTTCTGAATTAGTCAGGATGGATTTCTGATTGCAGACCATGGGAAGCAAATAAGAAAATGTACATGATATTTTCATATTCGGGTAGCAGGCAGACTTCAGACAGAAGGTAGTGTATTCTATATAGTGTGCATGGTGCTGACCACTGTTAGTACTTTTATTCAGCAAATATTGATGCATTGTATTTTAACCAGCAAAATGGCTTTATTATGTACAATGGAGTATGCACCTATTTTTACAGATATTTATGAAGTTGTATATGTAAATACTTATTTTTAAACAAAAAAGTTTGTGAAAGAATCAGTATAAAACTTTGCAATGACATTTTTCCACTAAAATTTTCCTTCTAGTAAAACTATCACGCTGTTGAAGTGTTTATTCAAATGCATGTACTTCATGTACACACATAGAATAGGATCCGAAGGTGGTGTAACAATTCTGAGAAAGTGAATGTATGAAGTGTTTTTTTTTTCTTTTGCTTCACAAGTAAATTGCTTATAAAACTAACAGCTGCTGTTTTGAAGCTAATCTTAGTGAATTGAATGTTCTTAACCATTTCTACTATCCCACAGTCCTTTATCTTGCCTCTCCTGCTGCTTTCCCACCACCCCTGATCCCATTAGCAAAACTTGAGAGAGCCTCAGCTTTTACCAAAGTGCAGCTTTGGTTTCAGCTGCTTTTCTGCAAGAGGAAGTGAATGTTGCGCTTTTTTCTCTGTGGCATGGTTGTGATAAAGCTGTGGTGCTCTTATCTCTCTTTTAGGTAGTGGCTCTTTATGACTACACAGCGCATCGATCAGATGAGCTAACCATCCATCGCAGTGACATTATCCAAGTGTTATACAAAGATAATGATAACTGGTGGTTTGGCAGCCTAGCAAATGGACAGCAAGGCTATTTTCCAGCTAATTATGTGGCTGGTGAAAGTAAGTTTACTGCTCTCTTCCTGGTATACCGGTGTGGGTTTAACTGATCGTCCAAGATTTTAGCATGCTGTACTGCTTATTACTGTAAAGTTACAAATTTGTGTAGCGCACATATGGCATAATGATGGGTTACTGTAATGCAGAAATTGTGCAAAATTAGCTAACCACTTAGCAAGTTGACATATCTAACTTCAGAAGCTATTGACACTTAGTTAAACATTCTAGCTTATATAAGCTACTGGCTTGATTGTCAGTCAACTGGCTTGACTCTTCCCTTCTAACATATAGCCACCTGTTCTTGCCCTGCCCTGACAGTGTTTTAGGACACATCTAAGCATTTCACAGACGTCTTGGACTTCTCTTAGATCTCTTAGGTTTGACTAGTTACATTTAGAAAAACTCTGTTTTTCCCCCTACTCTAACAGGGAATGTTCAGTTCCCAAATAAGTGGATTTAATTATGAAATTCTAAAAGAGCAGGGATGGTTAAATCCCAGGTCTGAGCATTTAGCTTACTACCAGGTCCTTGTGATTAAAACAGTTTTGGTTAAACTAATACAGCCAAATGTAAAACAAATAAATAAACCATTGAAATCTGATGGAATAATATAGGAAGTATTCTACTGAGTCGACTAGTATAAGAACGTTCCCTGTCTTGCGAGTTCTTAATATTCAATTTATAGACATAGTGTGTGGTCTCATGCTACAGGAAATTCATGTGCTTTCTAAACTATCAATTATACTGGTGTTTAGAAATCTCTTAACCCAACATTTCTGAAGATGTTTTCCCCCATTTTCTGCTTCCTCCCTCTGTCTTCCAAGTGAACTCTAGTGTTTATGCCCCTTCCCTAAAAAGCTTGGACATAATTCTGTGCTAATTTAATGATGCTACTTGAAATAAGCTTAATTGCGGTCTTTCTCCACTGTCCTCCCCTCACACATCCTGTGCATTTTATTCCTTCCTCTCCTCCTTGCAAAGTAAGCCAGAGGGCAGCCTGTAGGAACAGTCTTCAATGATGGCCTGTTCTTGAGAAGGCTTTTAAAAAAGTCTTTGAGGCAGTTGGCCAGCTGTGCAAAAAAACCATGGTGTATGTTTTCTTATTTCGTTTGGTGACCATCTTATTATGTACATCAAAAGAAGTGTCCGTGATATGTGTGTTTCAATTTTATTGCTTCAGTTTTATTGCTATCAGTATAGATTCTGTTCTGAGTTGTGTAAATGTTTGATTGTTGATATTTTATGTAATTACCTCTAAATGTAGATCTAAGCTTACTGATATAGATAAAACAGCTAATGGGGAATTGTTGATAAATTACCATACAAAGTTTGACTTCAAACATTTTTGACTAGTTTTAGTTCACATCCCAATATCAGCTAGATTATAATATCATAGCTGTTCACATAAAATAGATACTTTCATAATTAGATCATGGTGTGCCCAATGGTAAATTATGGATCATGTTTTCAGAAGAATATGAAGAACAGCCTTCAGGATTTGTACCAGATTCTGCTCCTCTCCTACCTGATGGACAAACAGAAGCAGAGAAGGGCTCTCTAACACTGAGTAAGGTAATTATTTGAGAGGAAGGGGTTCTATAAGTAGTAGGGTACCATATATAGAATACAGTAATTTTCCTTGCCTTTTTGGTAAAATTTCTAATGTCGAGACCTCATTCCAGGCAAGCAGATATATTTTCAGCTGATGTCTAATGTTCATTTCTTGTGTGGATCTAACTCTTCTGTCATATGGAAATTAAATATTCAGCCTACTCTTGCACCATTGAAATGAACAGCAAATCTCCCTTTGACTCCAAGGTTGACAGAAGCGTCTCTCACAGCTACTTGGTGTAAATAGCTGCTGAAGCAACAACATGGATTTGCCAAAAACTGATATATTTTCTGACACTTAACTATCAGTCTTGTAATATGCAGAGCCCACAAGTTTTACCAATGTTCTTCTATAAAATTTCCTTATCTATCAAGTTGCTTAGACAAGCCAAACTGTGTTTCTCTGGAGAGTTTGTCAGCCCATGTAATAATTTCCTAATTAAGATAAGCATGTGACCATAAAGTCTCATTACCAGAGTATGCAATATGCTGCCTCCAAACCTACTTACTTGACAATGGATGTTTCTGTTTAAAAGCTGCTGATGGTTCTCTGATGAATAGTAGCACCCTTCCTGTAGGTTGTTCAGGAGGATATACTTTCTAGTTTGGAGGAGCAAAGTAAAGAGATATCAAGAAGCTTAAACAGAAACAGTATATGATCTTTTTGACTCCACCCCTTTTTCTTAATTCCAAATGTAATTATTTTCTGTGGTAATACGTAACACATTACTGAAATAGTACTTCTAGATGTTGTCTGCTGGGTTAGTTATTTTTATCATTAGAGTATGATCTAACTAAATAAATCAGAGTAGTTATGTTTACCAGCCAGTGTACATGTATTCCACTGTTGGTGCTTAGTAAGGCTTTTGTCTTGACTGTATCTGCTATCTCTCCGCTCCCACAGCATGCATACATTGGGTTGTAATTGCTTATTGTGTTATGTTGGTGGTGGTTATATATCACATACTATACTGTATGTTTATGAGACTTTACTGTTTCTGTGACATTAGTTAGAGTTCATATTGTAGTATGTACAGAAGAACAAAGAAACTACAGCTGGTTTTTAGTCAAGTTAGAGAAAAGGTACTGTATATGAGGGAGGGGGGGAAAAAATGATTTTTTTCCCAGATATTTAGAGATACAGCTATGTGCAAAGCAGAATAAATGACTCTCACTTCTCCAGACAAACAGGGATTAGAAACTTTGCATAGTTAATGTTCCCCTCCTGTGAAATAAGAATGATGATTGTCTTAAACCATAGGATACTTTGTAAGCAAAGAAAGTGATAGAAACAAGTTCAACAGCTGCTAGAGTGTAAGAATTATTCTTCATTCAAAATGTTTGTAGCCTTCTTAAGTTTGCTTTCCACAGCTATTCAGTTAGTCAAAGGGGACTAACACAACTACTTTAAAAACGACATTTTTTCAGAGTTCTTTCAAAAGACTTGACTTCTCCATGTATTTTCTAAACTGGATTTTAATATTTTATCTGATTTGCAGGACTGTAAATGAATACTGCGTGGCTTAGTTACTATTTTTTTTCTTTTCAGATGATTTATCTAAGCTATACCCCGTAATATATATTGTAATGTTCAAGATTAAAACACACAAAACCACAATATAGGTGAATAAAAGTATAACTTTTGTTTTTACATAGGTGAATAAAGAGGTAATATTTAATAAATTGTTTAGTACAGATTGCTCACTTGGCAATCTTGTTGAAGCCCACTGTTGTAAATCAAACTATTCAGTGTTTTAGTTCTAACAATATTTTAAAACAGAATTAATCACTATACTGAGTGAAATAATTAATTTGAAATATATTTTACTTTACATCTGAGAAACTCACAGCCAAATCAGGGTCCCAAAAAGGTAAGAATGCATTACTTCCGGATATGTTCTCTACTCCAAAGGCTGAGAGGAGCAAATATAGGAAAAGATGGGAAAAGTAACAGCATTATCAGATAGCACGAAGATTTCTTGTATCTATGGTATATAGATTGCTGGAGGCAAAGAAGGTATCCCACAGGTATGCGTTGTTATACTTACCCTGTTTCACACATACCCATATTAGAAAAGGGAGAAGATAGAAACTATTTAGTGTCATTAAAGGATGAATGATTTTTATCCTCATCTTTTTTTTTTTTTTTTAAAATCCAGTAGAAATCTACCTGGTTTACTAGATGGAAATAATTTTCAGGCACATTAATGTCTATCAGTTATAGCCAGTATTTATTATTCAGCTTTATGGGAAGTAATGTTTGATTATGTTTGATCACTTATATCTTCTCAGGTATGTATGGTTGAAATATGTTTCCAACAATAGTTTCTGTATTACTAGTAGCACCTTTGATTAACACTCATTTTTAATAATATTTCAGGGAGAGTTTCTTTACTATGATCCTTCTGGCACTTTGAATTAAATTGACTATACTATTAATCATTACTTTGCATTTTGTAGTAAAGGTTATTTGATACATGCAGAAATTCCAAAGATAAAATGAATTAAGTGCTCAGTAATAATCCAAAACCAAACAATTGGATTTTTTTTTCTATTGCTTTTTGATGTTGATTTAGATTTGCTATTGGTACAGATTTTTTGCTTTTTGTCTTGAGCTGCATCCAAGGGCACTACAAAATGATAAGGGGTTCAGAGAAAAGTAAAGAAAGGTTTTGAAGTCCTAGAAAAAATAGTATAAGAGAATGCATTGAAAAGATTAAACTGGGAAAGAAGGAGCAGTGAAGAAAGAATATATATAGTAATACATGGTGTAGAGAGCGTGCCCTGCTGTTAAAGAAGAACAGGGGACAGTAAGCTGAAATTGAATGCATCTAATATCAGTAGAAGGAAGTATTTTGTTTATGTTGTGCTTAGGTAACCTGGTAAACTTGCTACCACGAGATATCATTAAAGCTAGCTGCTCAGGGATTAATTTTTTAAATATGAATTTTAGGCTGAGGTAATGGCTGAGATTCCAAAAGCATCTAAATGATTGGGAAACACTAATCTTGCTGATTTTTTTTCAAGTTACAGAAGCACTGTATAACTTGCCACAAGGATAGTGAGTTGAAGTTCCAGCAAATGAGTCAAATCCCTGTGTAAGGCGTGATATGCCTTGAAGTATAATTGTTTTACAAATGCTGTTTAATACTGCATAGAATGAAACAAATTGTCATTCAGCTGTTTGTCATATTCAAGTAAAGTTCTACAGTGTTTTGGCTTTAGGCAATACCAGATACTTCTGAGACAGAACTGCTGAAAGGACCACTGTGGGGGCTGATCAGTTATGGCAGTTCCTGTGTTGCCACAATGGCACAGCAACTCTTCTTCCTATCCCTTTCATTTTTTTCTGAACTTTGCAAAATATATTATTTTTAGAACCGATCAAAGGAAATAGCAGTTCTTTTTACATGGGAAATATGGAAAATCATCATTTTGAAATATGCTATGATTTTTTCTGCTTTGACAGGAAATGCATGGGTTTCTTTGAAAATCGAAAAATATTTATTGAATAATACATTAACTTGTTGCTTAAGTTTTTATCTACAAACAGGAAAATATAACCAAAATTCTTGTTGTGTTTTTTGGCCAAAAGCATTTTTCCTGAGCGCTTAGATAGTTATATCTAGGTCTGCTATATCTCTTCTTTCTGTAATTTTTAACGAATACATAAATATTTAGCTGTGTTAAGACTGCAAAAATACCATTAATGTAAAAAAATCATAGGAGTTACTCGGTTTACTACCATACTAGAGTGAAAAGGGCACTTAAAATGTAGATAAATAATACTACAATTTGAATCATGGAGAATTCCATATAGTCTTATTTAGAAATAATTTTCCCCAACTGCAGATATTATAAACAGGTTAACTAGCTAGCTAATCCTCAGAATCGTATGATAATGGAATCATCAGTTTGTATTAGAAGAGCCTGTAATACTTAGAATTCAGTATTAATCATTGCAAATGTAGACCGTTTTGTTGTAGTTTAAAGAACCTACTTTTAAAATGATTTCTGCCATGAGCTTAGCATTCATAACATAATAATTTTATGCAAACCTTATTTTCCTGCCTTATGAGTTACTTAACTTCTGAGCCACAAAATTAGGTCATAATCATCTTTAATTACAACATACGTCTAAACTGCCAATAGAAATTTCATGGAGTAAAGTTCTTATTGAGCAGATGAAGAATCCCAAGAAAGGGAGACAGACCCACCACCGGTCTGCTTCAGTAGCAGCTATTTTCAAGTTCCTTAAGCTGAAGGCAAAAAAGACAGCAATTCAGACAGATTTCTGTTAGAAACCAGCACTTGGGTTTGGCAAAATTTTGTCAAATCTGAGACATTTCAAATTCAGCTGACTGCCGTATTTGGGCAGAGATGTTCTGCTGTCTGTAAATTCTTGCGAATATGTTTTATAATTTAGGGTGACCTAACAATCATTACTTAAAACACACCTCATTGGATTCTAAATGTTAAACAGGGTCAGTTCTTGATTATGTGGAAATAATGGGAAGAAGTAGTGGATAAAACAAATACCTGGTAGTATAAAATGTCTGTAAAAAGTGTAAGAAGATACTTTTTCTAGTACATTTGTCTTTGAAAAAATGAGGGTAAGATGTGGTGTAAGATCAGAAGCATGAAGAAAAGGGTTACCTTCTAAGAACTACATTATTTTTGCACAATATGGGTAATCTACCCAGAGATCACCAAGAGTTGATTCCATGTAGATGTAACCAAAGATTGGGATTATTGCTGTGTTCACATAAATAATTCATATTCTCTCCCTTCTGGGCTTGAAGTTTGATATGGGTGTTTTTGTGAGCTCAAAATTTATTTATTAGGCGTAAGAATCAAAAAAGCTTAGAAAACTTGCTCAAAAATATTTCTAAAAATATTAGCTAGAAATTTTTCTAGTTATTTCACCAAGCGCTTTAATTCTATAGGTTGTTCTGTTTCTG